CTGCTCTGTGGCACCCATTGAAGTGAAAACATGCTGACTGATACTTTGCAGCTGATGTCATCAACATAGGGAATGTTGATGGGGATGTGAAGGTAACTGAAAGCACTGCTCTGTTAGAAACTCCCAAATTAGACTTAATCTGGGCATAATCTGACCAAATAGATCTGATTTGGTTGGGACTACAACAGGTGAGATGATTTGTTCTGTTAAAAAAGTCTCTCACATAAAATTACAGCGCCAGCTAGCATTAGCCAACAGTTTTTTTAGTCACTTTCACATTTTTGTTGAACAGGACCAAGAATACTCATATTGATCACAGGCTCCTGAAAATGTGTTGTTTAAATCCATTTTATATGGTTATTGTTGTATGTTTTCAGACAATCTTAAAATGTGTTTGTGTTTTCTAACGTGTGCATTGTGAGGAGGTTTATGGACCACAGAACAGGAAAGCAAATATTCAAAGAAAACAAACCTGAAGTTTCATCCATTTCCGGGTACAGTATCATTCATTGTAACAAATGCCATTCTATCTTTGCCATTTCTGGTGTCAGGTTACCGTGTTGTGTTTGGCAGCAGGTGGTTGAAATCATGTGGTGCTAAGTAAATGAAGATATTTTATTGTAACTATATCTTTAAAAAAAAGATCAAATCTTTTATTACACAAACCAATTTAAGAAAAAAAATGTATTATGTGAACTGGGGGTGATATGTTCCCATCTGCCGGTAAAAACTGAAATTTGGACTTCCGCTGTCTGAGTACAATTCCATCTGAGAACATGGATGACCTCATAGAAGGAGATAAAAGCAGAGAACAGGATACAACTGTGTCAAAAAGAGAAGTTAAAATTCCCAAATGTTTCTTCAGGAAATCACCATATGGAATCAGATTGTTTTCATGTTTATAGAAGGTTTCCTTTATAACTTGGATAGATTCCCTTTTCCTGCATGGTTTAGCTTTCATCAGTGGCTGGCAAAGTAAGAGTGACTCACCCAAATTACTGGAATACTACAGTGAGTCATATCAGAGGACACAATGTAATGCTCTAGACTTAATCTTAGTTTTTAGGACTAACCAACCATCTCATCTACGTCATTTTGTTGTATAACTTGCATAATGACAATAAAGAACTTAGCCTTATAAGAGCTTAGCCTTATAAACACAAACAAGTAAACCCTGGTATGGGAAAAAGGTAATAGGGATTTTGGTGCATGAATAGTGCAATTTGAATGAAAGCGTGCAGCACATAGCTTTGCTGTGTTATTTACATTCCTGCCGCACATTGGAATTCTGCTGTAGCATGTTGGTCCAATGGCCTGACTCCCAGAAAGTGGAGAGAGAGGAGGTGTGTCCCTGATTTTTGTGTCAATGTGAGAGCAGCATGCCATTCTGTTTGAGAGTCCCATGTGATATAAGCAGACCCGCTCTGGGTCTGTACTTCCATGTGTTTTTATCATTGAGTGGAAATTTCAAACTCAACTTTGATGCTAAGATAGTCTGGATACTTGATGCTACAACGGTAACACATAAACGCTATAATAAGGCTGATACTATTTTTACACAATATGTAATTTTCACCTCAAATGACTATGTGGTCTTTAATAGATCAAGACCCTACTAACTATTCCGGAAAGATCCATATTCTTTTTTAATATTGATACCCGCTCAAATGAGTATCTAGCTTTCGTATTGACTGGTAGTGGGTGTCCATTGATAACAGAAGTTTGTTGGGTTTTTTTGGTTTATAATGATTGATCTTTTTTTATATGAGTTTTAATTGTAACAGACAATACAACTGAAACCAATAAAATGACAGAAACTTCTTGAAAAATATTTTCTACAATATAAAAATATAAATTATTTTTTAGCTTTTTATTTGTAATTCTCTCTTGAGATATGTCCTATATGACCTGCATGCCTGTTTCTGATTACTATGATTATTAAAGTCTGGTGACTCCATTACGAGGCTCTATTGAAAATTGACTCCTCTGACAATGCGGCCCATTCAGTGGCTCAGCTTGTTCAGTGCTGATGTTGCATTCCAGCAGGAACAATCCCACTGTTTTCCAAACCCCAAAGTGGACGCCTAAATTGGACAGCACCCTCCCCCAGTCTCCCCTCTCCCTCCTACACACACCCGTGTCCTGTGCGCTCTCCAGCCAACCCACCCACCAGCGCCCACCCCTCCCCTCCGCGATCCCCTGGTCCCTGTCCTTATTTGGGTAGAGCAGTTGGAGAGCAGCGTGCGGAGGTGGGGGTTAGAGAGGGGAGGCAGGAGGAGAAACAGAGCGCACTCACAGCCCTTTCTTAATAAGGACATGTCTGGAATTCAGGCCTCTCTATCGCCGAAGAGCTCTTTCTGCACAGCACTGCACTCCAACAAACTCTTGTTCCCTCTCAGGCCATAGCCTCGTGTCACACTCGTCTGCTCGTGGGCTTCCTCTTGCATTGGTCTGAGCTCTGCCTCTGTTTTATCTAATGTCATTAAAGGTCAACACTAGAGTGACCACCATGTTTCTCTTCTGTGTGCCACCAGGTCATAGGCTTAACTCAAGCACCTGTGCAGTCATTCATGAAATGCTCAGGCCACAACGTGTTAACGTGTTTAACACACACCCTGAACTAACTCCTGATAGTTAGCATAACTTTAGCACAATTTAACTCATAGCCTAAAACTAAAAACTCAGTGTGGTAAGGTGTAGTAGCCAGACACATAATACTTCACATTTATATCCAATTCAAGCCAAAACATAAAATAACTATGATTTTAATGATTTTAATATGATTTTTATTTTCCTAGTGAAGTGTATGCCACCTGCTTGTCTCAATATAGATATTAATGCTTTGTGTAGATGTTTGATAGTATGGCATTCAACTTTTCAGACTTGAATTTAACCAGTTACAGGTGTTTGTTTTTATACTGCCTCTCCACAGATCTGGCCTGTGCCTTGTCCTGGCAGTGTCACCTGCTTGTCCTCATGGAGATAGATGTGTTTAATGCTGTAAGTTTCAGGCACAGTGATAACATCTCCTTGGAGACAAGCAGGTTGTCTGGACCCAGCTAGAAAAGCTATCTAGGACTGGGCAATAAAATGTAATTATGATTTATACCTGTGACAATAGTGCAACATGTGATATCATAATTCTGTGATGTAGTTGCCTTGAAATTATTCATGTAATACCTACATGAATCATGATATAATTAAAATTGTGAACTAGGCTCTAGAAAATTACAATATCATTTTGCACATATAGTGCATCTTTCAAGGTCCATTTGAACTGTTAAACATCTTTTGTCTATTTGGTCTGTAAATCGTATGATGAATGTTATCTGTTTGGTTGTTGTTATTTATTTTTATTTTGGATTAACAATGTATATGTATCGTAACTGCAGTAAACTACCCCAGTTCTTTAAGTTTTTCCAGCTACGCTCCTGGTTAGCACTGATTAGAAGTACTGTGCTGTGGTGTGTGCAGAGGAAGATGGATGAGAGAAGTGGCTGATGAGAGCCTGTTTTTAGTGTTGAGTTTTAGCACCGTAACCCTGACTCTCGGGGTCTACCATAAGCAGCACCCTCCCGGCTAAAATTAGCAGCCGGGCTTGTGAATATTTTCTCTTTTGGCTCCAGTGACCTCCATAAATTACAGGTTAAGACTTGTGAGTGTGTGTGGTACAATCATTGTATTGTGACTTGTAGAGATAAATACCAAATAGTTTTACATAAGGAAGAGACTCTAATTAACTAACTAATATGATTATTATATTTTTGCTTGCCTTCATATAAAAGTATTTATATCTTTTTCTAGTGTTGTCACAGTACTCAAATTTATCTATTAAATTGCGATATTAAGAAGAATTCTTTGATAGCTCATTGGAAAAACACAGAATTTTCTTTATGAATATATGATACATAAATTTATGTTGAAGCCCCATATAATATGATATAAACACAGATTATCATTTTTTTGTCTATTTTACCATGTGGTCATGTAACCTAAAAAAGACATAAATTAGAAAGCAAGATCCTAGTCATATCAGAACTGATCACTGAGGATACTAGTGTAGATTCTAGTTTAAAAATAGATTAGTATTTGTGTTTTTTATACCTGCATGAAATTATGCTAAATGCATGCATGTAAAACAAGTCATGGCAATGTTCTGAATGACCTTTCTTTTCAGATCTAATACAACACTAAGAAGGCAGCTTGAAAAACACTTAGGATCTTTGCCTGCAGTCAGCCATAAGCCGACCACATTGGGACACAGTTCCCAGACCACAAGAATTCTTTGAGGGCAGCTCTGATTAGTGAGGTCTTTAAACTTCATTTTATGGAATATCTTGAACTCATTTGGCTGTTTCAAAGAAATTAAATCAAGGAAATTATAGTAATAAGTGTACGGTTAGCATTGTTTATTCATACACATTTAATGACTGCCATAAAATACAGCTTGGTAGTGTCTAAACAAACCTAAAACAGAAAACAGCCATAGGACTTTGTAGACTCATATTCAACCCAAACAATCCTCACCATTTTTCCCCTAAGTAGAATAATATACAAAAGTCAGAATTATGTTTATTCTTTGTGCTAGTCCCAAGCCCTGATAATGGTGATAGTTGTGAGTATGGGTGGGAGACTATAAATATGTTTCTTCACACAGGTAATGCAAAAACGACATATAGAATTAAGAAATAATGTTATCTGTGCTATGAATATCACCCGTCATGTTGTAGCAGAGCCATAATTCAATTGGAACTGCATAGGAAATGCATACAAATAAAATGTACTTGTAATATTCAAAAGTAAGTCAAATAATAAGACAATTTTTATTTTATAAAAAAAATCATGGCAGTGCAATAAAGATAACTGCTTGACTAGTCAACTAATCAGAAAAAGGAACAACTGACTAGTCAACTTGATGACTATTAAAATACATTGACAACCTTACTAAGAATATCAAACATTGTTAAGCCAGTATGCTAACAGTCCTTTATGTTTTCCAGGTCTCTTTCAGGTGTTTTGACTGTGGGGCTCAGGGTCGGGCCCAGGGGGAGCCGCCACCATTGCGTCCAACGAGTGGAGTGCTAACGGCAGCCCTGAGGATGGGCTGGACGGGGACAATGATGACAAGACCATGGACGGAGACGCAGAGGGCGTGTGGAGTCCCGACATCGAGCAGAGCTTCCAGGAGGCACTGGCTATATACCCCCCCTGTGGACGCAGGAAGATCATCCTGTCAGACGAGGGCAAGATGTACGGTGAGTGGTACTGCAAATCAAACCAACAAACACTTCTTAGAGTCATATTAAATGAAGCAGAAAACCACAGATAACTGTGGTCAAAGGGAACAATCCCAATAATGTACTTTTATTTTATTCCACACACACTTTGAATTGTTCTGATGGATACAATATAAATATCTGTCACACAAATGATCCAAGAACAATGGAAAAGCTATATTGTAAACCACGTTTTAGAATACAATACTTAACTCGAAAATTAAAAGAATATCCAAGATTTGATGGCTGCATCACACAACAAACAACTTAATATAAAACAGAATCTGTAGTGCAAAATTTGATTGCGTTTGTAAAATGTACTTCAACAGACAAGAATGAGATTTGTGCTAAGGCGTTAGTAATAGCATATTTTCCAAAGTATGAAATGTAATGTAACATGTAAAGCCCCTGACTTTTTTCCTCCAATTCAAGAATAATTCATTATTGCAGTTTAAACTCTTGTGGTTTGATAATGTCTTGGTTGTCTTGGTTATAGTGTGCAGCATCACATGATTGGAGTTAATGGCTAATTACTGATTAGCAAAGAATAGTTAACATTTTTTAAAAATGATTGTCACAAATGAAATACAGCATGTCTGTCATGAATAAACAGGAAAAAAATAAACTGACTAAACCTTACTTAGTGGCCATAGGTTAGAAACAGAAGTGTCTGTTTTCTTTAGCGTGCTGCTCTCTCTCTCATGTCTGGGCTTGTTGCGTGAGGCGACCCAGGGGCTGGTTCTTCCAGTCGCCCTGCCATATCTCTTCAGGTTATGGTCGACCTGAGAGCACCGCTGTTGCCCCTCGTCCCATGATTTACACCTGTCTGTCTGTTCACTCTGTTTTTCTTTCACGCTTTTATTACCTCCTCTCATGCACTTAAGAGTTGCAAAACCAGCTCTTTTATGTGTTGTTGGTTTTTTTTGTTTTTTTTTGTGTTTTTTTTAATGCAATCTCTCCCCGCACCGGTATTGCTGGTTGAGTTTTGAGGAAGTGAATTTTTTAATTTTTTTATGGTTGGCTTAGGTTAAATTGGTGGCAATTAGCACAGCTTGAACATGCACAAAAACATCTCGTTATATTCAAGATTTGAAGTATCCTTATGGTTTGGGGGTTATGCTCTTTCTTGCAGCGTGTTCGTTCATTATGTTGCAGGTGTTGAGCTCATGAGAAGCTCCAGATGGGTGCACCAACATTGGTTTACATCCAAGTGTCGGAAATTGATCACATTTGTTTGTTGTTAGCCAAATCTTCTCGTTAACTAAATCCATTGTTTAGTAAAAGTTGTAGTCTAGAGTGGAAATTGTTCGCTAACAACAAACTCTGTGGTTAAGCCCTGTTTTCTTTCATGTCCTCAACAAACCTCTACTTTTTGGTTTTGTAAAATTATGTTCTTTTCACCATTGTAACAAAACTCCCTTGAGCAATGCTTTGTAAGAGTTTTCTGCCCTCTAATTATTGTCCGTCATGTCTTGAAAAGCTGAAATTTATTCCAGCTACAGACAAACCATAAAATCCATCACTCCTATTATGCATGGTTTGTGTATATCAGTTCAGGATTAGCATTTATAAAATTGCAGTTTGAATTGTGACGTCAGATGAAATTCTTTGTATGCCTAATGGAATACTTTTGTTTGTCAGACAGATTTTGATATTTATGGCCAAGTGCATAACAACCAAGCCACTGTAAAGTTGTCTGTTTTGACCCTGACAGAATACAAATATGTTGAGGCAACTCTTAAAGATTAAAGATTGCGAGATTGCCAGTTATTTTACAGTTTATTTTAGTAGCATATGAATGTTGGAATTATAGATTACTGCACACATTACAACAATTTAGTGTGTTTTTTGATGTCCAAGTGTTTTATTAGCTACAAAATGGGAAATAGATGTTTTATGACTCAATGTTAAAAACACACCCCTAAGCAAGATGACTGGTTAATACATGCAATTGGATTCATGCTCAAAGGAGTGCTGCTCCAATATAACCAATATAAATTAGATTGTTTTAAACTAATGATTATATGAAAATGTCTCTGTATTCAATATTAACTTTCCCGTCTCTATCTTCCCATTTAGCAGGGTAGTGTTGTGTCCAGGCCCACACATTTGTTATGTGAATGTCAACAAAGCGTCTGGCTGTGCACAAATCAGTCCCCTTAGCAACAAACTGTCGGACGCTTTTTAGAGACCCCTTTTTCAAGTGCACTAAACACCCTCTCCGCTTACAAGAAGTCATCTGAGGCGCTGCTGCCGAAGCCAAGACATGCCAGAGAAGAAGGCCGCTCACAAGGCTATTACCTCAGACATCTAAAAGCTGCCCTGACGTGATGCTAGGGGAATGTTAACCATAGCACTCTATGTAATACTGTCTACCTTGCATTCTCCGAATCCCAGTGCCCTCCAAAAGCAGGCTTCTAGTCGCAATATCTAAATCTCAGCGAGGGACGTTAGTGTCTTCTCATTGGGTAGGAAGCAGTTTTCCATTACCTTAGCAAAGTAAATATTAAATACATTATTTTTCCTGTGACTGTCTAGACTTTTCAGTAGCTTGCCAATGATTAATGTACCAGTGGGGTGACAAAAAGTTCAAGAGTAAAACACCTGCTCTGAGCCTGTGTAAAGAAGTTGTTTGAGAACACACAGATCGGATAAACTGTATTATGCACAATCTTGCCAAATCTAATCTTTGAGTCCACATTCACTGTAGCTTCTTTTTTTCTATTTAATCTCTCTGTCCATGGGCTTTGAAACATTTGGCAAAGTCACAAGAGCCCAAACTCAAACTTTCACTAGCATTAGATGTCCAAACTCTTCACGTCACTATGTAACTTTTCAGGTGGAGGGTAAATCTTTTGCTTGACTTTATAGAGATTGCTTTGCCTAGAATGTTCCAGAATATGGTATTAAAGTTATTTATCTTATATAAACTAATTTACAGGGTTTTCATTCCTCAAAAATATCTTGAAAAACACACTTTCTTACTGTAAGCATGGTCAGCTCTCCATGGATCTGATGTGTAACTTGGCTTGGTGGTGTAGCCTGCTTGTCTCCATGGTAATAGATACATTTGATGCCATACTTTGGAACATTCCAGGAAAAGCAATAACATCGCCATAGAGACAAACATGTGGCATATTATGAACCCAATTCCAGTGATACCCTTTATACTGTATGTGCTATATCTATAACATTTTGCATACTTGCATTCCATTTAAATTATTAAGGCCTTATTATTACCTGTGTTAGTCATGTAAATACTTTCAGGAGTGGAATGCCATAGATAGCAGCTGGCAGGTTTTCCACCATACTGCAGCTTCTGAGGCAGTTGTTTTTAGAGGATGTTTGAAAAATGCGGACCATCTTGTTTGGCTTTGGGGCTGTGCTGACTTGTTGCTCACCTACGTTTTCTGGGCAGGTGTGCCGAGGCCTGAGCACACTCTTAGCCCTGCAGCTGTCAATACTGGCAGTGCAAAAAAGTGAAAAATATAAGCGCTAGAGGGAGGCTTGTTTCTGTGTGACCTTTGAGAATCTGGTTATTAGAAGCAGGTTGAATGCATGCACAAAATGGGCAATGCGTGCCGAGGTATTGGAGAGGGCTCGAGTGGTATGCATGATGACTGAGCAGGCCTGGTGCTTCCCTGTCAGCTCCCTCACTGAGATGTCAGGAATGTTTTCAGTCATGGCTGAGCAGTATGCTAGCAATTTAGGATTACCTCAATGTTATGAGAAGGGAGGGGGTGAAAAGGGGGAGAAAGGGTTTGAGGATGATGGGAGGGGCAGAGATACAGGAGAGAGAGTAAGAGGAGATCACCTTGTTGCTCTCTATCTAGTGTGGAAGTGGAAAATTCCAGCGTCCGTGTAGTAAAAGAAAAAGATGGGCGTGTCATGTCAGAGGCAAGATTGAGAATGGCAGCCTGCAGCGATGTGAGTGGGCGTTGGGCAATCACACTGAAACGAAGAGAGCCCAGAAAAACTTTTGGAGCACTGAAGAAGCGGCAGCAGTGGCCAAATCAGGCAGTAAATGTGGTGCATGAGTGTGTGTGCACCTGTCATCCCCTGCTGTGGTGCCCCACACTCTATCACCAGTGACACTGACAACACAACCGTGTGCTTTCTGTTCAAGTTAAGAAAGCAGCATCTTACCAAGTAATAAACCAACAAAACCAGTTGTACAGGATCATACACAAAACCTCCAGCACAAAACAAGTGAATACAGATGTCATGCTGAGTTCTATAATGCTCTCCTTTAAATACACAAGCAAACCCAAAGGTTAGCTCCCAAATAATATGATATGATGTATGATGCTAGTATTACTTCAGAAACACCATAGCCCTGGTCTCATTTAGGAAGCATACATATGGTGTATGTTATGTATATATAAAAATAACACATACGTTATTTTCCTATGTCAAGTTTGTGATTTATATAAAGACAACTTGACATAGGAAATGAGCAGTCCAGTCCCAGAACTCAAAGCTTTGTGTTTTGGTGCTGTCAGAGATGAAACTCACAGAGATAAAATTTGCAAGATTTAGGAAGTTAGGAAGTCTGTAGTATACTTTTAATAAGAATTCCACATAAAGGTTTATAAATAAGGACTTAAATGACCTACAATGTGCTATGTGCTCTTTGGATGCCATATAACATTGCTTTAGAGCTGAATGTGAGGCTGTGGCAGAGATCTGATCTGACAGATGCGCCAGGGTTGGCCCGGTATTGTCCGGTGTTGGGATGGTCAGCAGCAGGTGCTGTTCTCTGAGAACAGGGTCACACTGTAGTGTTGTTTTGGGGTGAGGACGGCTTTAGTGCCAGGTGGCAGTTGTTGGCAGAGACAGTCGTGGCTTTGTGCTTCCTCACAGACTTACAGCATCAGCTGCCTTCTTTGCTCCAGCCGTGTGTCTGTAACCTTCTTCTCCCATAGAAGAGCAGCACACATGGAGCTCTGGTGGTGCTCGGCCTAGGCCAATCAGACTGGCTAGCACAGATGTGACAGGCTCCGAGGAATGTGAGGAATGCGGAGGCGCTGGAGCGGGCGTGTCCATCCTTGGCCTGGGGCAGAAGGGGAGGGCTCTCTGCAGTATCACACAGTTGTGCTGTGCTGGCTAACCACGGCCCGGCTGGCTGCAGAGGAGCCTGAGAAGGCCTCAAGTACTTTTATGGTAATTGCAGTAACCAGGTCCTTCTGACGGCCAAGTGCTGAAGAGTGTGTGTAATAAGAAGTCTTGTGAGTTTTCCTGTCATTATGTGTCTGGATACTGTGAGCGCTGTTTAAGCACACTCCTACTAGACACTGAATGCATTGTATAAACTAACCCCAGGCTCATCAGCTTTATCCATTTATGTTTGGTTTTAATTTCTGGCGCAAGTTGTTATTTCTAGTGATACAGTGGTGGTCTTACCTCTCACTTTGGCCCCACTTTACAACCATACAAAAATCCCAACACAGATTTTGATCCTGTACCATGTAGATATGATCCTTTATGTTGCAATGCTTTGCTGTGAGGGTGGACAAGGGGACATAAAGCCTATGAATAGAAGTGTATTCTGTGCACAGGCTGTTTGTGCAGAATGTGGAGAGTAGATGTTATGTCATGAAAAGGTGCTTGTGTTTTCTGAGCTCTCTCTGTAATTAAGCAGTGGGGTCATGTGAGCACAAAACACACATGTGTTGAGCAAGCCACAGTAAACAGTAAAAATATGAAATCATAGATTTGTAAAGGCAGGTCAATAAATGGAAAAGTATTGTTATTGTTTCATTTGATTCACAACTGCAAAAGATAGTTTCAACTGAAATGATTAATTTCCTCAATTTGTTCTGTAAATACAGAAACTTTCTTTTGATTTACCTCCCCCATGTGGTTATTTTCTTCTGTTGCAGGTCGTAATGAATTGATTGCAAGGTACATTAAACTGAGGACTGGCAAAACGCGCACAAGAAAACAGGTAGCGTCTCCTTAAATAATAAAAAGAACTGCTTGGTAGTTATAGTTACACCAATATACAACAATACAACAATGGATACAAAAATGTATTCAAATGTATTCTTTTGTCCCGTTTATACAAGATGCAAAAGTCAACTACCACCAATGTATGGAAAACTGTCTTGTTTGATTAACCCAAGATTAATCAAAGATTACCACACATTTTAGATAGTTAGTTATGTTCGTTCTGTCTAATGTGTGTAGTTGAAAATATCAATGCCATATTTTTAAGTGTTGAAGTTTTAATTTGTCTGTATGTTGTAAACACTCAGGTGCATGTATGTCTGTGCATGCATGTAACTGCATGTTGTTTTGTGCTTAACTGTTTCAAACTCCTTCAGGTGTCTAGTCACATACAGGTGTTAGCGCGGAAGAAAGTTCGTGAATACCAGGCGGGTATAAAGGTAGGTGCAGCACCGGCCTGTGGCCGACACTGACAGGGCGTCTCTTTCCTCTTTGGTTACGGCTTCTTCTTCTTCTCTGTCTCTTTCCCTTTTTCCTCTTGGCTCTTCTTCTGTGCAGGTTTCTAGCCACTTGCAGGTTCTCGCCCGAAGAAAATCTCGCGAGATCCAGTCAAAGCTAAAGGTATGCGCTTCACTGTGGCCTCGGCGGGCTTGTTAAGGCTTGGCTTTGCACTAACCATTTCACACATGATAATTTTACCCTATAATGCGATGCACTTTGGGCAGAGGAGTGAATGCCAGCTTAAAAAATGGTGACTTTAGACTTTATGGCTGCTTGTGTGAATTTCTAGTTTACTGCTAATTTGTTCATCTTTAACACACAGATTAATGCACGTCTGCTACACTTGAGTACACTTTATCATGGAGATGCCTGTCACTGTCTCCAACTGTAACTTTAAAAAGTTCACTTAAAGCTTCTGCTTTGTAACAGTGTTGAAAGCTTGTGACGATTAGCACTAGCTGCGTGATGCTTTAGCACACACCTGTCCTTTTAGCTAAACTGTACTTCCTGAAACTTCATTCCACTGAACAGTCTTTACTGTGAAAGTTCAGCTGTCTTTAACAACTGATATTTCATTGATGTTTTTTCTCTTACGCCCTTTTTGTCTGTCTAAAATCTTTGGTCTGACCAACCATGCTTTTTCCTATTTGCATTGTTACATCTAGTACTTCAGATACTATGCAGTTGTCAGTTCAATTAACCCTATAATCTAATTTAAAATACACTAATCAACAACCATGTTATTCTGATTGAATCATATTGATAACTGAACATGCAGCTTGATGTTTTGTGGTGTGGCACAAAGCAAAATTATTCATCTGAATTAAAAACAAACAAACAATATCTTATCTTTTAATCATTGTTCCTCCTTAAGGCACAGGATACATATAAAATCCATTTGAATAAAACTTAGAGAGGGCACACTAAGAGGCCACATTGCTGACATACACTTAGTTACAGTTAGTTGACATGAAATACCTCTGTTGCAATTCTGATTTTTATCATTCTAAAATATTGCAACAGGAGCAACACAAAAAATTTAAGCAATTCATGTTTAACACAAAATACATATTATGATCCCCCCTTGCCTGGAGTAATAATGGTCTCTCTCCTTTTTTAATATAGGCGATGAATTTGGTAAGTGCATTTAACTTGTATAATATGCTTCCCTCCTCTTTTTGGCAGCATAAGTGCACTGTCCCTGCTATGGCCCTCTGCTGGCATGGCTTTACCGCACCCCTCTTCCCAAACGCAAAAACAGCCTCGCTCTAAACACTGCTGCCCGCCTGCCCCATGGAGCAAATACTGTACTTCCCTCACCATGAGTCTTGCTTGCTTTGCCCAAGGTGTTGATCTTTAATCTGGGATCTCACTGCTATCAGTCATTTTCTCTAACAGCAAAACCACTATTTTGCTGTTGAGACGTGTTTAGGGTACAAATGTAAGTTTAAGAATATAAAACAGCTTTTAAGTTTTGTCCAAGATGAATTGGTAAGCTTTGCATTCTTTAAACATTCTTCTTCATAAAACCACGATGCTGTTATCTAAATACAATATGGACGACACCCATAATGATGAGACCAGCTAAAGCTAAACTACCACTCGTTCCATCTGCTAAATTTTTCTGTTATTTCACTATTTTTTCACTCTATTAACCTGTTCTTCCACATCTGTGCCCTCTGCTATACATTTAATTTATTAATTAATCAGCTAAATATAAATGCTGACCTAAGGTATAACAATACAATATAGTGCCATCTAGAGCCCATGTCTGACTCTTCCTTCAATTTATAGGACCAGGCATCTAAAGACAAAGCCTTGCAGAATATGGCTGCACTATCGTCTGCACAGATTGTCTCACCAAGTATAGTGAAAAACCTGCCACCACTACCACCTGCCCCATACCAACCAGTAAGAGTTTTTTTTCTAAAAAAAAAACAAACAAACAAAAAAAAAACAGAAACAATTTAAAGTTGAACCCAAATCTAATGGATCAAAAGCTGACCTTTTTTGTCTTTCTCTTTATCCGCTACAGTTTTGGCGTGCCCCCATCCCAGGACAGCCCGGCCCTTCTCAGGAGTAAGTAAACCTTTGTAGAGCCTTACATGTCAGGTCGGTGATGCAGTGTCTGTTTAACTGTCCACCTGTTCTGCACACCAGGCTGGTTCTAGATCTCCCGGGAAGGACTCCTGGGTTTGCCCGCACCAGCCATGCGTAAGTTCCCCTAGCTCAGGTGTGATCCAGAGCACAAAGCAGTACTAACTCACATAATGTACTCTGTCATGTATGTTTTCTGCACTGATGTAAACCACCACTCCATAAATTATGTGAGTGTTGCTTGGCATCACTAAAAAGCCATAATGCAGGTGGACTTACGCCTAGCTGGTGCAGCATCACATGCTTACTAACAGTTGATATTATACTGAAGTAAATAATACTGGCCATAATCATAGTATAAAAACAATTATCTCATTGATTCTTAATTGTTTTTCAGTATCAAACCCTTTGCACAGCCCCCGTACACCACCCTACCAGGTCCAGTACAGTCCTTACAAAGTGAGTGTGGATCATTAAACCTACTCTTCATCTGTTTGCTGTTTTTCTGATTGTGTTGTTGTACTCACAGCCGGTTACGAGCCCTTAGCTCCTCCCCCTGCCCCTACGGCCACTGCAGTCCCAGTGTGGCAGGACCGGACCATTGCCTCCTCAAAGCTGCGCATGCTGGAGTACTCAGCCTTTATGGAAGTACAAAGAGACCCAGACACTGTGAGTCCTAATACCTTGCCTTGTTGCACTTTTTCTTGTAGTGCATTGCTGTTTTGACCTTGGTGTTACTGCATTGTGTTGTTTTCCTGCCATCTAGTGGATGCATTTGTTATTGCAATATCTGAATTCTGACAGTCTCTCCTTGTGCCACTTTGTCCCCTACAGTATAGCAAACATCTGTTTGTCCATATAGGACAGACCAACCCCTCCTACAGCGACCCACTGTTAGAAGCTGTCGACATCCGGCAAATCTATGATAAGTTCCCTGAAAAGAAGGGCGGGCTTAAAGAGCTTTATGAAAAGGGCCCACAGAATGCCTTCTTCCTGGTGAAATTCTGGGTAAGTTTAACATAGTTTGATAATTATGTTTCTAATTAGATCTTTTATAGATATTATATAATATCAATAATAAATAATATCTGTTCTGATCAGGCTGACTTGAATAGCAGTGGCATGCAAGATGGCCCTGGTTCTTTCTATGGTGTCAGCAGCCAGTACAGCAGCAATGAAAACATGACAATTACAGTTTCCACTAAAGTCTGCTCATTTGGGAAGCAGGTTGTGGAGAAAGTAGAGGTAAGAGGTGCACATTTCAAGATTATTCATAATTTTTGTAATTGTCCTAGTTGTTTTTAACTCATATTCTACTGTTACACAGACAGAATATGCACGAGTGGAAGGTGGAAAATGTGTTTATAGGATCCATCGCTCTCCCATGTGCGAGTACATGATCAACTTTATCCACAAACTCAAACACTTGCCTGAAAAGTATATGATGAACAGTGTTCTCGAAAACTTCACTATCCTTCAGGTAACTTTATGAGTGGTTTTAGAGTTAAGTGCTGTGACAGGATTTATTGTATTGTTTTCTCAATCAGATATTGACTTCCAAATATTGGTCACTTTGATATCCTGACTGGACATATACATTGATGTAATAAGAGGGTGTAGTATGAACAGAAAGTCACATAATATTTGAACTTTTATTTACACAAAGCTAATCTGTGGTTATTTGAGGGATAAATAACAGTTACATTACACATCTGGATCAGCTTTGCCTTATTTAAGTTTTTGTTTTAAGGAAATAAATGTTGTTTTCAGAACCATTTAAAATTGTTGTTTAAGTACCAAACTTGTACAGTATTGTGTACTATGTACTGGATACAGTGTACTCTGCTGTCCACAGCACTTCATTCCTAATGTGTGTAAAATGTGATGACACATGGTTACTGCACAGGAAGCAATCAAAAGAACTAATGTAATTTTCATGAACAAAGTAAAGTAATCAGAAAATACCTAATAACTGTAAACAGTAATTTTTAATAACTTCCACAGTACTGGTTCTAATGTTCTTGCACATTTGTTTCCTTTCAGGTAGTGACAAATCGAGACACTCAGGAGACACTGCTCTGCATAGCTTTTGTTTTTGAGGTTTCTACGAGTGAACATGGAGCTCAGTATCATGTCTACAGACTTGTCAAAGACTGAGGGCTGTTTGCCTGAGAAAGCGTGATGCAACATCCCTTGGATTTGTAATATTATGTCACCATCACCTGGACTCATACAATAAATACAAGTGAACATTGGCAAAGTGACAAGCAAGTTATTTAAGAACTATTTTCAGTGTTTCCAACTTGTTTTTACAAGGCATTAAATGATGTTTGATAGCAGAAAGTAAAAGAAGGTCTATATAATTGGAAGAAATAAAAGACATGTACATCATATGTAAGATGTGTGGAAGTGGAAAACCAGAGCCAAGTTGTTGCAGTAAGTTATAGAAGAATGTGCCCATTTTCCAAAGATATGATCACCGGCCACTTTGGATTGCCTTCTTACTACCTCTTATTTTATAAATGAACGAAAAAGTTTTTATGTCAAAATTAAATTGGAAAAACTCTCATTACTTTGGGAGTGCAGAGGGATAACTAATTTTCAATTGTAGCCTGTTTTTAAAGGTTCACTTTACTTTTTTACTCTGTAGAGGGCGTGTATTGTGTAATGTATAAATTTGAATCTGCTTTTCTATGTTTTATAACACATTTTCAGAAATTTCAGGTCTTACAAGCATCTATCTATTACTGACTTTTGACAGTTGGGATGTCTTGTACTCTTGCCATCCTGACATAATGCCAAGATCTTGCAATATTGTGAGGTTCTCTGTTTTGAAGACGTGCTTGGCGGCACTTAAGTAATCTACAAAAGGGGTGAAGCAACAGCAGTGCTTATTTCTACCTTGAGATATGTAGCCTTACTGAAACAGATGAGTGTTTGTACTGTGAGCCAGCCAATGCTAAAGGAGTATGTTACATAGGAGTACTTCTGGGGACTTGTGTTGTTATTGTGTTCATGTAACTCAGCACAGAGACCATAGTTTTAACTGCCAGCAGACCGTCAATGTTTCTTTTGTTTAAAAAAGAAATTTTACACTGTGAAGTTGGCTTATTTGCTTCTCTAATATTTAATTATTTTACACTTATCATTTTCATCATAAATCTATTTTTATCCAAACAATAATCCTAAAATCAATTGAAGACATGTTAAACAAGAGCTATTGTCTCTGTGCTGTGGAGTATGACCATTGATTGTAATTTATAGGCTTGGAAATTGGAAAGTGGGAGGGAAGATTTGTGTTGATGATTTCCATTGCAATGCGGAAGTAAAGCAGGACTCGCAGTTAAGACAGAATAGATGTCTTCCAATAGAGCCTGCTGGACGCATATATGTACTTTATGCGGTTCACTGGACATGTTGCTATTGCAAATCTTAAGGTATTAGATATGATATGGTGTATTTGCACCTTTTGATTGTCATATTTCACAAACAAAATACAATAACACTCTTCCAGGTTATCTTTCGTTTATGTTTTATACAGACATTTTTGCCATTACTACGATTGTTTTTGATTCTGACATTTATGGACTTTCAGTGTTCGCCATATGCTTCACTGAAAATAATGTGTGATTGTGATAATTAATGAGATATCTAATGTATTATATTCTGAATGGTGTGGGCGTTTTTATTTTTTGTTTGTTTGTGTTGAATTAATGTGGTTTACTAGCCTTTGTCTTTGTTACCATTGTGCATTGCAATTTTATACTTTGTTTGTATCAAAGTAGAGGTTGGACTATGTAATCAATCAAATGTATCTAACAATAAAAGACGCATGGTGCCTTTGGGTCCCTATCCCCAGACAACTCATTAACTGTGTATATTGACTTTTTTGTTTAGTTCTATTTATTTATGCATAGCCTACTCGTTGTACAGGCTAGTAATTGTAAAAATAGGTAGTTTTAGTAACCCACTACTTGTAGTAATACTCTTTTTTATTATGAATGTATTATTTATTATTGATTGATTCACTTAATATTTTAACGAAAAACAGATGAAAGAGGTCATGTTATATGTACTAGTAAAAATAAATACATATAATACAAAGAGAAAACTTACCTACTAGGCCTAGTTTCTGATTTCTTTGGGGGATACACCCATGACCTGATGACAAATCAAGACTTCATTTCCCACAATGCACAGCGGAAGAAACGCACCGGAAACGTATGATTGGAACTGTTACAAAGTAAATGTTTTGAATGTTCCAATCTTTCAGACCTGTGCCATTAGACATTATGGACTGCAAATAATTTAATATAAAAAATAAAGTATGAACTATGCATGTGCGAGTCAGATTTTAAATTGCTTTTGCTCTATAGGGTTACAACCGGATGCAAGTGGAGTTATTTTCATCTAGCGGAATTGACACCCGGCGGCGGTAGGAAAGACGCAGCGCTAATGGATGCAGCTCACAGGCAGCAGACGTGCTAGTGCTGCTGTGGAAATACCTGTCATTAATTAACCAGCGGCATTACTACATCACCTAGTATCAGGAAGAGCTTTCCTGGACTCGTAACCAAATAGCCGGTGTGTGTTGCTTATAACTATCTGCAGACCCTGCGGTAAACTTCAGCTCACGTCTTCGGGTTTGCGAGGTGAGATAAATAGTTTATAAAGCTGTAAATAATGAATGCAGATCGCGTGTGTGTTTTTTTTAGCGGTGTTTAGTTAGTAGTTGCTCAACACTTTATGCTAAACGTTGTGTTAACCGTGTATTAATAGTATTTTTAAGTGCTGCAAGTTTTTTTTTTTTTTTTTTTTTTTTGAGGAATGCCATTGATCTTACGCTGCATCTTTTGCCCAAAGTCAGCTTTTTTATCCTGTGCTCACTACTTTTGCCTTGCAACATCTATGGGGTCAGCATACTAAAAACACACATTTCTGGAGCCTGTATTTGGTGTGACAGTATTCCTCTTGTCTATTTTGCCTGCATGTTCAAAACAACATTACCTTTGACACTGAAGGCCCCTGTCTCTGTGGATTGCATTGCTTCCCCTCTTTTCTCTCCAGGCAGAGCACAGCCGTGTCAGCACTCTGTTAGGCCTGGTGTATTGTTGCATTCCCATGAGGAGAGCGTGAATGCAGCTTTTTGCTTGTTATGTCTGCTTTTGGAAACATAGTGACATTTGTTTACTGTCTGTGAAAATGCCAAGGCCACATCAGGAGATAGTAGTATAAGAAATGTATTATTTTCTTCTAAATGCTACATTGGGTACATATAATGTTCTTTTGGCCTAAATATTAATGTATTTGTTTTATTAAAAAGTAGCCCTGGCTATTCGGCAATAGAGACCTGAATTTGAGCATCATGGCCAACTCAGCTGTCAGTATACGGGTTTTCTCACTCAACTGCTGGTAAGATATGACTGTCAAACTTGGAAAACTTGAAAAAGACAACTGTTTTTTAATGTAGTTTATTGTCTTCTCAGGGGTATCCGCTACCTTAGTAAAGAATGTGCTCAACGTTATGCTATGATTGGAGACCTGTTAAGCAATGGGGAACATGATATTGTGTTATTGCAAGAGGTAATCCAGTCATTCCTCAGACTTTGCAATGTAACTAGATAGTGGTCTTCTACAAATAAACTACTACTATTTTTTGCCTTCTAGGTGTGGAGTGAGAAAGATTTCATTGGTTTGAAAAAGAAACTGGTCTTTAGTCATCCTCACTCCCATTATTTTAAAAGGTAATGATGTCAATATAAAATGTAATTAATATTGTTTTAAAATGCTACAAGGGTTTTACATGCTCTAGTCTGGTGGTCCTTTTCTTGGTGGATTAACTTTGCATTTTAGTGCCTAATAGTTCCTTGACCTACCTTCAAAATAGTGTGTTTAATTAGTGTGACCGCTTTGTTAATCCTGTGTGCAGTTCACTTAACTGTCACTTTTAATCTGCAGAGTTCTGATCTTGCATCACATGTCTAATATTACTGCATGTTACGCATATAAGCTTGTAAAATTGTACTAATTCAGTGTTTAACTCTCATTCATGCAGTGGTGTCATTGGCAGTGGACTGGCCATTTTCTCCAAACACAGAATCCATGATACATTTCTTTACCGCTACTCACTTAATGGTTATCCTTACATGGTAAATGTTTGAAATGTATTTTTGTCATTTGAACTTTTGCTTTTTCTCTAAGACTGTTGATGTTCCCTTTAAAGGCTCACCATGGTGACTGGTTTGGGGGAAAAGCTGTTGGAATGGCAATAATACAAGTTGGCAACTTGACTGCCAATGTTTACGTCACTCATGTAAGTTTGTTTAATGTTATAATGCCATAGTTTCTCAGTAATTCTTCTCATGATCTGCTTACTTTTCAAACAAACTATTCTATTTTTTCCCCAACCAAAACTTACACCACACAATAAAAGACATTCCTCATTCAAATCAAATTCCCACAATATACCTCCCTTCACATTGTACATTTTCTCTTATGTAAACTGTCTTCTTATTTAAGTTGCACGCTGAGTACTGCCGGGAGAAGGACTCATATCTACCTCATCGAGTGGTCCAGGCCTGGGAGCTACAGCAGTTCATACGGTACTTAGTCTTTACTTTATCTCAAATATCAGCTCCAGTCAGCGTCTTGTCCAATGAGAGTTGTGGGTTTGTAATTCTGCCTGACTCAGGGAGAATTTGTGCTTATGCAGTGTGCTTTATCTTGTGCAGTCACACGTCTCGAGGAGCCGATGCTGTGATTTTAGGGGGTGACCTCAACATGCACCCACAGGACCTCGGCACCAGACTACTGAGGTCATACACTGGACTGAGAGATGCCTATTTAGAGACCTCACAATTTGACGTAAGGGATAAATACATTTACATACTGATTTAATTTCTGTCAACTTTAATTAGTTTCAGTCTTCCATATTGGAATGTTATAATTCACACAGATAGATTTGGATGGAGTTTTATATTGTATGTTGTCTATTTATTTTGACAGTTAGAATTGATCAGTCTGACTCATTAATAATGTACGATAAAAGCAATTCAGGTAGTCAATGTGGTTGTTTTAGAGAAAGCTGTTAATAATATATGCAAACATAACTAACCGTAGGTCTATAAATACTCTTTCCTATCATCAGTTTTTGCCATATATGCAGTTTACTCAAAGTGGAGAAATGATGTAAACAATTGTGAAAAATCTCTCTCTTTGTATTTATTACAGGGTTGTGAAGATGGCATAACCCTTATAGCAGACAATCCTTTTATCAATAAAAAAGAACTAGTTCCTTTTGAGAAGGGAATACGGATTGATTACATATTATTTAAGGTGGGTAATCTCTACAAACAATGGTTAAACCATTAAACAAACATGCAGTGTATTCCTGTACAGTGCAGTTCCACTGCTTGAAGTGTGTAGGACAGGTGACAGGTTTGATGGGATAGTACCTGTTGTCATTACAAATTATAGTTTTACACCAATCAAGAAACAATTTGTGAAGAAAAGTTGAAAAATATGTTGCTAGGTAAGAGATTACTAGAGGAATTCCCTAGCGTGATGTCATGATTTCAAACTAGGAAGTAGAATTTTAACCCTAAAAACTCACCAAACACAGATGAAGAATTGTACATTTTATTTAGTAAAATCTGAAATATAATGATGAACTGTGTTTTAGTAAAATGAATAGTCATAGGCACTTTTTTATGTAAATTTTTTTTGTTTCCAAGGGGTCGCTGAAAGCAGAGATTCGATGTGACTTCATGTCCACCACCAAAGGCTCTGTTCCTGACAAACCTTTCCCTTATTCTGACCATGAAGCTCTGACTGCAGATCTTCGACTAAAGCCACTCATTTCACAAGAAACTACACATGACAATGACTCTACACATGACTCTAGTGAGTATTCTTTGAATTAATTTATGCAGGCCTGTGCCATGAAAGATTAAAATTATTGATCTGAAATCTAAATATGTATAAAATTCTGTCTCACTCTGTCCCACATTGCTAATCTACACTAGGGTTGGAAAAAAGAGTGTTTTTTAATTCTCATAGTAGTATAAAAATCTGTATCCAATTTATGTACCCCTTTCCTTAGTATTGAAATATAGCTTTTTGGTTTTGTGACACTGCTTACTAATTAACTATGAGAAATTTAGGCTTCTCTACAGATTACCTTTGACAGTATTACAGTATTTGACTTACTATAACCCAACGAATTTGTATTATGCTCCTCTATAACCATAAAGCCCTATTTCTGTCAGTACTTCCCTTTCCTTTACTTATCTTCAGGTAAGGTTGCTGAGTTGGTGGACATTCTGACTGAGGCTCGTACTGAGGTGAAAGTGGGTCTGCACTGTGCCGAGAGAATGCGCTACACCGCCACTCGCACGGGCATCATGGGGCTGGCTCTGCTTATTCTGGAGCTAGCCATCGCAGCTGTGCCCTGGTTGGCTTTGGGAGCAGAGCAACCTTTCCCTCGCACCTCCTTCTACTTACTGGCTGCCCTGTGCTGTACCATCCTCATCACAACATTTCTGCTGTATCTTTTTTACACAATGGAGCTTAAGTCCCTGCAGGGAGCAGAGGATCAGATGAGGCTGGCTGTGGGGGGCCTGCAGGAGAGGCTCAGAGGGGTCTCTGTGGACCACACTCCACTCCGCAAACCCCCAGAGGGAGAGGAACCCAGTGATTTTGACACAGAAGAATAACACTGCTCCCATCTGATTTCATTAGATCACGTAAAAGGTGCACCATGTAACTTTTCTGGTCTCCATGGAGATGTTATTACTTTGATGATGCATTGGATTTATACAGCACCTTTCAAGACAGAGAGCTTTACAATGCATTATTCATTCACTCCGCAGCCACAGCTGCCCCGGGGTTGACTGATTGAAGCCAGACAGCCAATCTTTCAAACTTAGGCAAAACACTACAACCACAAAGACGCTACGGTTTCTTTCACTATAGCCAGAACCATCACTACTGTGATACCTGGTATTCCCAGCGGCCTCTCAAAGAAGGACTTTGCCTGGAATGTCTTCTGCATGGCACTAAACTCATCTGTCCTGTATCTATTAAATTACTGTTGTTTTTATTGCTCAAAAATGGCTTAAAAACGTGCATTCGTACTGTGAGTGGACTCACCTGTCCACAGTTTGGATGTGTTACTTGACCTGCTGACCTCGCCTGCTTATCTCTGTGGAGATAGACAGTTGTTATTCTGTACTGTGGAACAAAGCAATAACATCTCCATGTTCCATAGTTCACCTTTAACATAATGTAGTATATAGATGCATAGAAATATCTTCAGATTGTGTTTTTACTTGAGATTTGTACTTGTTTCACAAAATGAAGGAAATTAACCACATTTGAGATTATTTGTTGACAGTACTGAAGAGCAAATGCAGTAACATTTTGTACATTTTTAAGCAATATTATTATTCTTTTTTTTTTTTTTTTCTGAGACTTTCAACTGATGTTTGATATTCTGCAGCATTATTAGGTCTTGCTACTGCTGTGCTCAAAGTGAAATATGAATTGTCCTCAAAGGTCATTCAATTGGCATTCCTTTCACAAACATTTCACTGGGACCACTTGGCTATTGACAATATGTCAGAGTTTTGTTTACATTTAAATGATGAATACTGATATTGTATTTGGGCCCAAAAGAACAGAAAAACTTGTGTGCACCTTCAAACAGTTCACTGCAAACTGTAAGTGCTAGTGCACAGGTTTATTTTCCGGCCAGTAACATAATTTTTTTAGAAATTACAGAATTAGCCTCTACAGCACTTGGAAGTCCACTGACTGACTTTGCTATGTAGCCCTACTTGTTTTTTTGACTGAAGATGTGTGACACACTCCTACATTATATGCACTCCAGAATGCAGTAATTTTTCAAATTTTAATATTATCTGTTGTAGTGTGCAGTGAACTGAACTGCAGAATGACCTGCTTTAGACAAGTTGCTTAATACTTATTTTTATTTACAGAATGTTTTATTTCTCCTTCCAATTTTGGAAAAAAGCACAATGTATTTAATTTAAAGGACATGATAAAGCCTGTAGTTTTACATAGGTAATTATGACTTCTTAATTAATTTAAATTAGATATTAGATATAGATACAGAAATTACAGTAATTACAATAAAAATGGCTTTCAAACTAATCTTTGCGTACATCTTGTTACTTAAAGAAAGCTTTTAAAAAGTATTAGGAGCTCAATGATGGCCCGGGCTGTTCTTTCACTCTTTCACCAGCAGATAGCGCTCGAGCTTTTCCAAAAGAATTCCCATAATAGCGTGGCGCATGCTACTTTCTCAACGGAGGGTGAAATAAAAGAAAACCAGACATTAAAAGATTAAAGTTGGTAAGTAATTGCTGTATTTTACTTTTCCAGAGGCGCTTTTTTTACACATGATGGCCGAACTGATGTCAAATTTTACAATCTCTGAACTTGACGCTTAGCTAGTTTGACTTTTTTTTTATATATATATATATTTAGCCTCAGCCAAAAACACAATATTTTTTGTATAAAGTGTTATTGTACTCTACTCTATTGATACAGAGTAAGTTTGATGATTTACAGATGGTTAAATAGGCCTACACGTGTTTCTTCTTTTATTATCAAAGCACAATGCACACCTGCGTTATTTGGCTTTTTTTTTTTTTTTTTTTTTTTTATATATAATGACTAATTCTGTCTCAGTTCTTGCTATGGTGACTGCCTGTGAGAGATTACATTACTATACTGTAGGCCTATCTAAATACATTGTAATTCTTCTATTATACAGGCATACATATGGGTTATACAGATGGGTTGTAGGCTACGTTTAATGACTGTACCACTGTAACGATGAGACAGGTCAGACAAAGCTCAGCAAAGGATACTGAGCTGAGCGGGCCTATTGTGGAACTGGGTGCGGCCACAGAGGCAGGGCAGGGCAAGGTGCATTTTTATCACCTCACTCTTCGCCCAACGATTTTCTGCACTGCCTCTCGCGCACGTTTATGCAGTCAGCTCTCACGCTTGCTGTGAAAATGACCACCCTAGACCCGCTGAAGTCCGTCATGGCCATCGAAAACGTGGAGGACACTTCGCTCGCCTTGCCGTCTGTAAACCAGTATCGCTCAGGTCAACAGCGCGTCTTGGAGCAAGTGCAAAAAGTGCGCAGATCCAAGTCGAGACATGCGAGCGTAAGAAGTGGATCTACCTCTTTATCTCCCACGGGTAAGGGCTGCACTCGTTTGACTGCAGACTATTTTGTTTACGCATTTGTATGGGATAAAAATAAATTAAGTATGTGACAGCTGATTTTACTGTTGTCATTAGAAAATTTATTATGTTGAACAGGTAAAACTTAGAAACTAAATGAAATGTTAAGATAGATTCAAGTCATCTAATGTAAAACTTGATAATAATAGAAAATAAACTATTAAAATTGATTCATATGTTTTATTATTATTATCACTAGTCCAAGATAGCCTTTTTATAGTCTGTTGTTTGTTGACACGTGTTGACAAGGTTATAGGTTGTTTTAACACCACTTGAACTTATAGAATGGTCTTACATGTATGCACTCATAAATCTTTGTGCAGTTTAGGAGCTGTGTTCACAACTGTTTTGTCTGTGTGATAAATCATAGGTATGTTTTGAGGAGAGGATAACGGCTGATGTCTCTTTTCTTTATAGAGTTCATATATGACTCAGTGGATTCAGTGAAGTCACCAACATCTGTCTATATGAATGGGAATGTGTTTACTGGGAATGGAATTTCTCAAGCTGTAAGTCTGTGTTTATAGTATTCTTGCTCTTGATTTGAGTTTTGTCAGCTTTTCATATTTGACATTTTGAGTTGCTTATGTGCGATCCTATATTCTTATTTCAGGATAAATACATGGGAACTATGACCTGGAAATCCCAGAATAATGTCAAAAGCTCCAACGTAAAAAGAAATTCTGAATCTTCCTTCTATCAGTATGGGACGTACGCACCCATTGGCTCGATGACAATGGCTAAAACTACCACTAGCCGGAGTGAACCAAGTCTGGCTCGGCAGCGGATTTCAACCAAGAAAGCCAATTCGCCTCAAAGATTACCATCTCACAAGAGCACCTACAGGCCATCGAGAACCACCCATCAGTCCCTGCCTTCGCCCAGCACCAATGGGACCATTAAAACCAAGTCAAGCAAGCAAGTCATACGCAAATCTGTGACCAGTTCAAAAACTGTCCCAATGATCCCAACACTTCCAAAACCTTCACTTCCCAATCTGGCAACAGTAACAAAGAAAAAGGAAGAGTTTGTGTAAGTGAATGAAAAGATTTACATTCATATTTTGTTTATTTATGTTAAGACCAGTTTGAATATATGTTTGAGGTTGCATTGATTTCACATAGGTCAAATGTAAACAGTGGTGCAGTAGAAATCACCATGAAGGAAGCAGTGGAATATCTTTCAAATTTGGACAGTTCCTTTCAGCATTGTGGAGCATCATATATACAGCATAACGCTTACATGGATGAGAACGCGAAAGAAGAGGTGAATTTTAATGTCTAGTTCAATATGTTTATTTATTGTGAATTTCTGATTATAAAGGATGTCATAATATCAAATATTACTGTTAGTTACTGTAAGAAGAAATATCAAATTTTTAACATCATGACCAACCTTGAAATTCTCAATTTTCATTCATTCTAATTATTAATAACTGAACATCATTTCTCTAGTATGTGAACAGCTTTTGAAATCAAACTTTCAGAATGATAACATTATTATGGCATAAACAGTCAGGTAAAACAGCAGGTTTATCTGATTGGAGCGATATTTGAATTTAAATTACTCGGTACTTCTAAAACTGGCACACATCATTTTTAGTTCCCCCATTATTTTGTGACATGAATAGTCACCATCAGTGAATCTTGACATCTTTAAAATTGACTCATATATTAGTTCTTGGGTACACTTTGTTCATATTGATATATATATAGATATATAGTTTTGTGAATGTGTAAATATTTGCCATAACAAATATTTATAAAATCAACTTAAATCTTAAATTATTAAATCAACTTAAAGTGAAGATTTAAATAGTTATAGTAATAAAACCAATTGTAACAGTGTTTTGTTTGTCAAGGTGCTGAAGTACAATGGAATCCCTCTGCTGATTGGTTTGCTGCGCAGTTCCAACTCTTCAGTGAGTCAGACTGCTTGTGCAGCTCTGCGTAATCTATCCTTTAAAAACATTAAAGCCAAAGAGGAAATCCAACACTGCAATGGCATCACTGAAACTGTGGCTCTGCTGCAAGAGACTGACTCCACTGAGATGCAAAAACAGCTCACAGGCATGTTTAGAAACTTTCTATTGTTTTAGAGCTTGTTTTAATCACTATCTTTCACTTTGCTCATAAATTAAGAAAATGTTGTTTAAGATGTTTTTAAATTGTTATTTGATTGATGAGGTGTTAACATATCTGACTTCTGCTTAGGTCTTTTGTGGAATTTGTCATCAGCAGACAGCCTCAAGCCAGACCTGTTGAAAAATGCTTTACCTGTTCTTATGGAGCGTGTCATCCTGCCGTACACAACTATGGGTAACAATATTGACCCAGAAGTCTTTTTCCATGCAACCGAGTGCCTGAGGTAAACAAACAGTGTTACCTATATTATGTGTACACTTGCATTGTAAATTTATTAAAAGCTTTGTACATGTGCCAACAGTCGTAATGTAATAATAACATTGACTCTGAATATATTATCAGGAACCTGAGTAGCACAAAGCAGAGCTATCGACAGACAATGAGAAAGTGCCGTGGTCTGGTTGACTCGTTAGTCAGTTATGTGAAAGACTGCATTGATGCTGGCAAGCCAGATGAGAAGGTAAGCAGCTGAGGGCTCATGTTTACTTTGGCTGCTGTTTCATCTACTTAATCTACTTATCTCTGTGATTCATCTGTCATTTCGTCTGACCCACTCGACCCTGTCACTGCTCTATCTGGAGCGTAAACAGGGACACAAGTCACAAGCAAGCAAGTCTGCTTGACATCACAATTTTATTCAGTGCAGGTCACAAGATTGTTAAATTGTGTATTTGGTTAAATGGAATAATGAGACGGTTGTGCATTGTTAGGGTATAAATTCAGATGTTCATATTGTGCACCTGGTATTAGTTATGTTAGCTGACCTGACCTGGTGTATGTGTTCTCAACAGTCTGTAGACAACTGTGTGTGCACCTTGCACAACCTGACCTTCCAGCTGGAGGCTGAAGCTCCGGCCCTCTTCACAAGGATCACGGCTTTGGCCAAAAACGTCAACCGGAAAAACAGCCAGAACGATGTGGGCCCCATTAGCTTTTGTTTTAATCCACCAAACAAGGCTACAGAGCATGAGGTAAGACATATCACGGGAATGTCACTTAAGTATGCAAAGCCAGGAAAATGTGAGCATATGTGTCATTACGTGAAATTTACCTAATGAAATCTCCTGTCACACAGTCTAGACACAACATGTGAGTTGTTAGTTTTTTGTGTTTTTTAGTTACAATTATCATAATGTATATTAATAATTAGAAGGTAATTAGAATAAATAATTAATAATATCAAAGGCTGCAACCTAAAGCTTATTTTTTTTAAAAGTATTAAAAATAGTGTGTGTGTGTTTTTTATATATATATATATATATATATAATATATATATATATATATATATATATATATATATATATATATATATATATATATATATACTGGCATAATAATTTGTCTTCTGGTGCCTCTTTTAACTATGCAGTGGCTTTCTATCTGTACTTTTACGTCTTTGAACCATGTTACAGTGACCTCAATCTGGCAGCCACAATGTCAAAGCTTAGTGTCTATCATGCAGCAAAAGGTGTGGCTTTTTCATACTTTCTCCCAAAGCATTCTGTAAAAAAAGAAAAGAAAAAAAAAAAGAAAGATTTCCTCAAATTAAAGTTTTTTTTATTTCTGTAACAGCGGTATAGTCCAATCAAGACAAAAAATACAGTTGCCCGTCTTATTTATAGTATGTTATTCAGAGTTAATATATAACGTATATTCATTTGAATCATCTAATGCATTAAACAGATATTAACAGTCCAATGCACATTGTTCAGCATGCATCATTGTTCACAGATTGTAAGAGCATGTAATAATTTGCCAATTGTTTGATTTCTTTAGCATTATTTTGACTTCCCGGCCATAGAGGAACCACATCCCAGTGGAGCAGGATGGTTAATTCACTCCAAAACTCTGCAGAGCTACCTGACTTTGCTTGGGTCAAGTCAGAAAGAAGAAACACAAGAGGCGTGTTGTGGAGCTCTACAGAATCTCACTTTACATGATGGCATTGTAAGAATAAAAACTTTAATCTTTCATTATGACATGTAATATTTTTTGTAGTTTGCATTGATGTTTTTTACGTGCAGGTGTCCAGTGTAATGAGTCATACTATTGTGAACAAGCTGAATGGACTGCAAGTCATTGGCCCTCTATTAAAATCCAATAAAGTGAACTTGCAAAGGAACGTAGTGGCTTTAGTGCGGAACCTCTCCCGCAACCCAAGCCTGCACAATGCATTAGGTAAGTACACCTCAGCTTACACTGTAATCTACTTTTTGTTTAATTGGCTTTTAAAATTGAGAACATTTTGATTTAGACAGTCTTGGTAAAGCAGTGAAGTGTTTGCATGTGTTTAACAGCATGTGGCTTTTGCTTGCCTTGTTACTGAAGCCCGTAAAGCCTTGCCGCAGCTGGTGGATATAATCAGCGACGGCACAAAGGAAGGAAATGAATCGGATGACACTCTGGCCATGGCCTGCCAGGCGGCCAACAATCTCTTCATCAAGGACCCAGACATGAGCAAGCACCTGCTCAACAAGGACCTTATTAAGTCCCTACAAGATCTCAGCCAGAACAGGTTAGTGCTAGCAGAAAGTGCTTGAATCTGCATTTATTATGAATAGATCATATTAGTCACAATGAAGGCTAATACCGATGACTCATGGGGAATTATCAGTCTTTTGCTCACACCCTTTTTTTTAGCTTTACATGACAACATTTTCTTTCTTTGTATTTTTTGTTGATAGCTATCTCCCTAAGTCTAGCAAAGCAGCCTCCCTGCTCCTCTACAACCTGTGGTCTGAAAAAGACACACAAAGCTATCTGAAAAAGGTAAGTAGAGATAAAGAATGAGTGCAAAGAGCTGTCAGCATTAGGGGTGTGGCTGCTCTGTTTAGCCCACACCTTTGTCAACTATTTGTGAGAAACTTGAGCTGAAAGTTGTAAGATTTTTAAAGGTCTTTACAAAGGGCCCAGGGAGGGCAAATAAGATGGTCAGGTGATGTAGCCGAAAAATTCAGTATTCACATTATCTACATACATACAAATATCCTCTACAAGAGAATATTTCCTGAAATGTTTTATGTAAATATTTACCAAACTTGATGTGGGATGGGATATGGGATGGGCACATCAAGATACTACAGTGTTCTGCAATGTTGCAGTTTCATATAAACCAAACAATTGACTCATCTTATTTTCTCCACAGCTTGGCATGAATAAATCATCTTTTGTGAATGACGTCACCACTGCAGTCCACAAGTCACTTCAAGTTGTTGAATAAAAATACTGGAATAGATTGTCTATGCAGATCTGATTTTAGAATTGTACTTTCACATTCTTTTTCACTTGTTTGTGATAGCATTTGGTAAAATTTAACTGGTATTTTAGTTTGTGAAGATGTTTGCTAATTGAATGGTTGTAATTATTTTGACTATTTAAGGAAATGTAGATATTGTTTTTGAGAATCACTGTAAAATGGGATATAATTATGACATATTAAATATTTGGTTAAATAATAAAACAAAAAAAAATCTTTTTTTTTCATTAATGTTAATTTGACATATTTCACATTTATTTAAACTTGCATTACTATAAAAACTTTTTTTTTCTATAAATACTATCTTTTCCTGTTTTGATAACATCATTATTTTTTAACATTTGAGCCACACACTGGACATGTTTTATTATGTGTGACAAAGCTGTAAGTATAATTACGCTATTATAATAGCCTGATTTTGCTGCCTTTTCTTTATCTCTTCTAATGCTTTATTAACTATCTTTGCTTTTACAGCTCTGTTACAGTGACCTCAGTCAGCCAGCCACAGCTGTATTTGCCTAAGCTTAGTATCTCTCAAGCTTCAAAAGGTGTGGCTGTTCATACTTTCACTCAAGGCCATCCCACTGTAAAAAAAAATGATTCTCACAATTTCATGATTTTATTTCTGTTACAATGGTGTAGTCCATTCAAGACAAAAAAATACAGTTGTCAGTCTTACCTGTTTATAGTATGTTATTCAGACTTAATATCTAACTATATAACTCTAACTTTATAAATAGCTTTAAACAGTCCAATGTACAATGTTAGTTCAGCATGCACCACTGTTCAGAGACTGTATATGAGTATATGAGTATCTCTAGAATAGCTGGGTTTTCTGTTTCAAGTATTAACAAACCATTACAATTAATCTTTTTGCACTCATGCATGCCAGTCTGCCGCTGGAGGTGACAGTTACTTCCTGAGAACACGTTTGCTCCGTCCTCCTTTAGAGCTGGAAATACAGTGATAGTGAATTGATTTGTAACAATCAAACTGTAAAATGCATATGTGTTTTATATAAGATTATAGTTTAAATAAATGCACATGTATTAGGTATTGATTTTTGCTTTTCCAGACATCCTGTAAACTGTTCAGACCAGCACCTCATACTCATGTCTTTACTAATTTTGGATTTGATAATAGCTTTCAGACTACGCCCATTTTACTGATTTATACCTTCAGGCTTATGTAACAGCATACCTTAGTTTAATATCTGTAACGTTCATTATTAACACGCAAGGTTACAACTGAATCATATTGTTATATTTGCAGTAGAATGATTTATCTGTACATTTAAATTCTGCAAGTGACCAACAATTGACCAAAACATACATAATGCGTAAGGCTCTAAAATTAACTTAGTCCTATGTGGAAATACATAACCTTATGATATAAAAGTGCTGCTATTGTTGCCCCCTGAGACTAGAGCCTCTGAAGCCTGATCATACCTATCTACTGTTAGTGGGATTTGTAAGCAAAGATCCCGCTGCTATCTTTATCCACTGTTGCTGCCGAGATCTTGACCACATCAGATCATCTTTTAATTTGCAACTGATCGTGCTGAGGTGACATAATAGTACAGTGGCTATTTATGTGGATTTATATTAATTGAGGTTTCAAATTATGGAGTGGTTATGGTTGAGCGTTAGTGGCAATACAGGAAACTGTGCCAAAAGTAGCGATTTAGGCTGCTGTGATTAGCAGTATTGAGGGCAGACAGCTGTGGCACCATTACATTGTTCACCTCTCCATAGAGACTAAACGGCATACACTCATCTTGGCCTAAACAGCACTGGTTTTCTGTTTTTACCGGTACTATATAACACTCTAAACAGTGAGTGATCAGCCAGCTGGTGCCAACAGCTGCTTCTCATTCCACTTTGAACAGAAAACAGCTGAGGGCTAGATAGAGGCACAAACCTGAGGTTTATGTGAGGACAGGGGCTGCTATTGTCCTATTTTAACTTCAGCAGCTTATATTCAATGCATAGTCTTTTATGTTGTTCTGTGATACAACTGTTGTAGAGTTTGACTTACATTTTCTGGTGATCACTGACACGATTTCTCAGTACAGTGACCTGTGAAACACAGTCGTGAATAGTACAGCTTTCATTTTTATGGTAGCCATAAACTTCTGACTAATATAGTTTACACTGTAGACATTTGTATACCTAACCAAACAGTATACATTTACTAGGTTAATGTCTAACTATTGATCAAATACATGGGCTCACTGTTTGGGTCTCTTGATAATGAGTAAAAATGCTTTTTATGACACATATTGCACCTTCTATTTTTGTTTGAAGAGTGCATATATGAGACACATGCATGTAACTGTATTTGTCTCTGTTCTTTACCATATAAGTTCATATCACTCCAGTGTAAATTATATTTCATCCATTGATTTTACCTCGTATTTCTGCTTTGTGTGCTTGTACTGCAGTTCATATTTTTCAGCCTCTAGTTGGCGCAGGCGCTCCCACAGTTCCTTGGCTTTTTCCCTGTGTGGAGTCATTGGCAATAAGGACGTTGAGCATCAGATAATCCTTTTTGTTGTCAGAGATAAAAAACATCTTACGTGAGTTTGTCATCTTTGAGGTGGTCAATGTTCAACTCTTTGCGCCTGTCATTTAAAATTTTCCTTTTCTTCTCCCGCTCGGTTTGTTTTTTAGTTCCATTTTGTGCCTGCTAAAACAATACATTTTACAATGGGCCCTGGTAAAATAATTGTTTCCAGTTTAAATAATGATAAACCTTGTATCCAGTGAAACTCAAGTTGCTTAGAATGAGCTTTTTCCTAGCGCCTTCATCAGCTTTCTTTCTTGCTTCTTCCTCTTCTCTTCTGGCCTTTTCTTCCTATTACATTAACATTGGACAACTTTGTGTGATCTCTACTATACTATTTTTGATTCATGATTAAGTTAATTACATCACTTCCCCCAATTAATTTTAGCTGAATACCAGGTCCATGCATATATTGTACAGTATTTGTCCACCAGAAGCATGTAAAAATGTATAAGTCCAAATAATATACTGTTTGCTGTTCAACTTGACATTACATTTTTATTAAGATTGATTCAGTCATATTTAATCAGTGATCAGTCTGGGCATTTTTAGGTCCACAGCCAATCTTTAAGTAAAAGCATATGGTTTGAAGCAGAGTTTAGTGTGGTTAAAAGCTCCAGAAATCAATATTGAAAGACATTTTTATTTGATTATAATTTAATTATAATTATAATTTAAGTTCAGTTGCCTCAAAAATTGTGACCAACCAATATGAGGAAAAAACAACTTTTTGTCATATCACCCAGCCCTAGTTCAGCTGAGTTACCTGTGAACTGCCTGAAAACATTGGCACTAGTAGTTCACATGTTATGACATTCTACTTTTGCAGAAGTCTGGACTTGTGCTTGACACACACTGAGGCCCATTGACTGTTGCATGGACTTTCATCACAGGAATCTAAGGTTGTTGTTATTTTCAAATAAAATAACACCAACTTACCGCCATTCTGTTCTGCCGTTCCTTTTCTCTCTCTGCTCTGATCTTCATTTGTTCAGCTCGTTCCGACCTGCGTTTCTCCTAAGAATAACAATGTATGGCCAGTTTAAAAAATAAAAAAAAATACACAAACCCTAATGGTCACATACAATTCGGTCGGTGAGGTTCACTAGCTCCTCTTCCTCCTTTTTTCTTTTCTCAAAGTGAGCCTCGATCAGACTCTGCAGCTCTGTCAGGTCTTTCTCCATGCGCTTTCTGTGAATGTCCTGCATTTACACAAGTCTAACTTAATGCATTTTCTAACTGAGCTTTTACAACTTATAGGAATTAGTTGTTCTTACATCAAAGTCCACCTTTTCTCCATCTGGGATTTTTGGTGGTGCCAGGCCAGGCACAAAACTAGGCCTAAGTCATGACAAGATTATAGGTTAATAAGCAAGTTATTATGTTGGAATTTTTAAAATCTTACTTGGATTTGCGTTTGGCTTCTTCTGCAAATTTTGGAAAGATAAACAAACCATTTAAGAAACAGCTATGCAAAAATACATTTCCAGTATAATTAATGACTCTTAATTACCTTCATTGTCTTCTTCTGTATCTGGTGAAGAGACAAAAAAAAAGTCAAAAAGTGATCTATGGTCATAAGTTCATAAGAACTATACATGAAATCAGAATCTTTAATATAGATCAACAACAGCTAGTTTATAGTTAAGATTAGCAGTATTATATAATAGGGATGCAACAATACAATTTCAGGGGTGGATACATGGGTTATATAATATTGATACAAAATTGATATGTTTTAGTCCTCAGAAAAACAAAAACAAATATATTTTTTTAAAGGTTCACATAATTATATTATAATATTAGTAAAGATAACCTTTACACATCTATTCTCTGTCCAACTATAGCACTGTTATGCCTTTATGGGGCTGTTTTCTTATGTATCTGTAAAAGTATAGAATGAGTAATGCAGTGGAATAGTGACGTGTGTATTTGATAGCATTCAATTTACATTGAGTATTGTTGCATTCCTACTGTATGGAGCAGCAGACATGTTTGCTAGCAGCATGTCAGTGAATGTGTTTAACAGCTGCATGCAAACCACATCAGCTGAAGCTGTACTACCTTCTACCTCCTCTTCCTCAACTTCCTCCTCCTCCTCCGCCACCATCTGCTCCTCTTCTGTGCAAAGCAGTAGAGTTAGGAGCGGCACATCACACAGCCAATCACAACTGCTTGTATATTTCTGCCACTATTTAACCAGAGGAATGGTCTTTACTTAAGTTTTAGATATTGTGCAAATATGCTTTACAAAAAAACATCTTACAGGAACAATTATTTACACAGATTTTTGACTTCTTTCTCACTATTTGCACTGTTGAAATTCTTTCTCACAATAGGATCGCTTTCCTTGGTGTGTGGATTTGGTTTCCGCCTCAGCAATGGGGTCTCTCTAGGGGAAAGTGACACCACCTTTCCTTCTCAAAGTCCCCTTTTTGCCTGAGCGTAACCCAAGTCCTCTCTCCATGGCAGCAAAGGCAAGCCAGTCGGCAACCGTAAAAATGAAAGTGCGCATTGTGCTGGTACTTTGCTCCCTGAGGTCCTCTATAGAGAACACTGGCTGACCTACATGGTTCTCCAGCACTCACTCCGCTCTGTGTGCTGAAAGACAGGTGCTTTCTCCAAGTGGTACAGCAGCCATAGCAGGCCAACACATAAAGAGACAAAAATAGAGATGTGACTCTTTCTCATTCAGATGTTGAGCTCTTGACCTCATGGAGTGAATAGGCAGATCCACGGGGATGTGAGTACATAGACAGATATGTCCAGGCGGGAGCACGGGAGACCTACCAGGTCAAAGGTCACGTTAACAGAGTAGCTCAAGGACGCCAGCTGCTTTACAGTGGCACCAAAAATACAGGCGACGCTGCTGTGGAGATTAACACATGTACAGTGCTAAGAATGTTGTAACGCAGGGATCAAGTCTGTAATCAAGTAACAAAAGTGGCAGAAAAATACCGCTAATTTTTTGTTAACTGCGTGCATATTTCTATAATAAAAATACTTTGACCACATCACATTATTATAACTACACTCTCCTGAAAAACTTGTAGTGTTTTCATGACATGCAATATTTCTTTTATACCATTTCTTTCGGGATTTAGATAACTTACGTTGCCCCCTGCAAGAAATTAAACACAGCACACATTTAATATTTCATGTCTATTGCATAACAATTTTAAGTTATAGAAAAATATACTCACTCATTGGCAGCTTCCTCTGTGTCAGACATGCTGCAGCACTTGCCCTGGTTAATTTTGGAGATAGTCCAGTTGTCAAGTTTGATGTTCTCCTTTAAAAGAATTTAACATAAAAGTGAATCGACTTACTGAGACTGTGAGTTGTGGACTTGAAATGAGCTTCAATGTGTGATTGTATACTGTGTCCTTCTCTGTTGGCCATAAGCTTTTAAACCCAGCAGCAGATCACATGGCGACACACTGCCCATGTCTACAATGGGTGGGCACATACCTGCAAACAGATGGCACATTGCATTAATGAGCCAGACATATTCTCTTATTAGGAGAATTGTATTATCGATTTTATATTGTAAAACCGTTTAGAGAACTGTGTGATGATTATTGATTTACATTTATATACATCATACTTCATTTTAGATATGTTGGTCTAACATGTTTTATTCCTCATACATTATGCAGCAGTTCCCACAGGTCTACTCCAGCATAAAATCCCTCTCTTTTATGTCTTTAATCTGAGCCTCACTTGTCCCAACATGCCAACACCAATTTGCTTTATGGCTATGCCAGTTCTTTTAAAACGTCTGCTGTTTACTGGAATTTGGTGACCCCAAACCGAGAGTTTGGTCTGAACAGGAACCTCCCATAGCTCTGACTCACAACATTACTCACTGCATAATTAAAAAAGGTTTTACTGAAAGAAAATCTTGGGTTCAAGCTTAATTCAGTTGTGAAGGCATCTCAACAGATATCACTGATGTATCTTATGTTGTAAGTTTGTGGCTTTTGTTTCCTTCCTCATTTAAACCACAAAATTCTTATGTGTGTTTTACAGGTAAACTGACAAGTACTGAAGAAACTGTGAGCTCACATTTCGACAAAAAAGCCGTTCCAAATAGCTTCAGGTTAATCATTGAACTCATGCTTTTGAATGACAACAAAGCTAAAGTGATAAGTTCAGTAAGACATATCTATGAAAAGCAGCATTATCACATTTAGATAATACTCTAAGAAGCTATCTTTGATTACTACAATTTCACTTACCGTTGCCATTGATGCAGTCTCCACCTTTACAGATTTCCTAAACCAGTTATGGCAAGGTCTATAGACACACGTAATACTTGTAATGACCCCTTGATAGGGGTCACTGTCACGAAACTCTCACTTTTGACAGGTAGCTTCAGTTTGAACTTCCTCTGAGAAGGAGTCAGATAACAGTGAGTCAGTGTGTGAGGTAACAGTGCCACCTTGTGGGAGCAGAAACATAGCCTGTGTGTCTTACATCAGATCAGATGGATATTACATATTTATTCCATATTTATTGTACAGTCTTAAACTATGCAAAGGATGAGGTCACATTGAATATGTTTAGCAGACTTTAAACTTGTCTTCTTAAATTGCCCACTACTAACAAACAGGTGATTTCTGACCCCTGGTGGCTTGTCAGAAATTGTGCAGTTTACTTAAAGGTAGGACTGGGAAATTATTAGAACTAATAATTGGAACTTGTGTTTGTAAATATTGACAATTTGAAAAATTGTAAAATTGTGAATTCAAGGTTTATTATGAAACAGATTTAGTGCTGACTTATCAGCAGAGCAGGATTCTGTATGTATGCGTGTATGTCTGTATGTATGTAAAATAAAAAAATTTAAAATAGCATAAAACAATTTGACACACACAAACACACACAAACGTACTGCTCATAAATATGTTTCACAGAAGTTAACAATTGAATGTGTTTTGTTATTTAAACAACCCAGAGAATGTTGACACACATTTTTATTATTTTGCTGTGAGAATGATCACACCAACATTAAGTGCAAGTGCAAAGGCTTACGGCAGAGTCAGTAAAACCAGTATTATTGCAGTATTTTTTCTGTAATAGTTTTTGTTGTGTTTATGGTTTTATTCAGAACAGTAGGTTTTTTAAAAATATCTTTATTGGTTGGCTCCTTTTGCTGCGTCAAACATCTTCTTACGGCCCTCCATACCCGACATGGCCTCCACGTTCTTCCTCCAGTCGCTAACCTCCACAGTTTTCTCCTGTGAAGACATACATACAGATTCATGTATAAGATATGCCACCAAAGATAACACAAGGGTATTACCTTTTTAAACTGGAATTTATCTATGTTTAAATGTAAACATACCTTCTCTGTGTCTTCTTTCTTTACAGATTTCAGATTTGCCCGGAGATCCAAGGAGACTTTGTGTTTTGATCCCAGTAAGGAGCGCAAAATGGCATCAGCTGAGACCCTCACTCTCCTCAGGTTTGGCCTCTTAAACTTCCCTCGCAAGTCCAGTACCTTGATGTTCAAGTCTTTGATCTGAAAGAACATACCACTGTGTGTAAGGCTGTTTTAGTTCCTTGCTTGTACACAAGACTTTCTTGACCCCATATAAATAATCTCTAACAACGCTACGAGACGCTAAATGAATGGTAGTAGGTTTTAAAATTTCAACTCTTACTGCAAGATTTTTTGTTCAACGCATGCTACCGGATTTTATGATTTCTTTGCATATAATTATTTATGATTGTACTGTAGGTTGGGTATCCTTCATCTGTCTGGGTTAGGTTTCAGAGGTAATCTAGACACTGTTTTTGATAACGCTTTGATTTTAAAAAGAGTGTCCAGATAACCTGGGGGGACCTGGGGGTGTGATAATCAAAAATATTATATGCAAATAAACCACAAAATCTGGTAGGATGTATTGAATAAAAGATGCTGCCATTTATTTAGACTAGCTATATAGTGCTTTATTTACATAATATCTTTGCTTATCCCTTCCCTCTTTTTTTCTTTGTTGGTCTTGTCTAGCATAGTATGTTTACATTATGGATTGATTGATTATGGTTGATCATTGTCACACTTACCTCTCTGGTGTTGTGCAAAACCTTGGCTTCAATGTCATATCGCTCCTCGTCCACTACATCAATTTTGGCGTGCAGCTCTTCACACAGGGCCTAAGGCAGAGGGAAACCTGAGCTAAACTATTGTTTTGAATGACTTCAGGAAGCATGCAGTACCTTGAGCTCCTGCAGGGACATACTGTTGGTCTGAATGGGAGGAGCCTTTTCATCTAGATATCTGGCTTTTTGTTCTTCTTTCTCCAGCAACTCCTGCTCCAGCTCCTCTTTTGCTTTTGCCACCATCAAGCTCTATAATGCATGGGGTAGAAACATGATGAGAACCCAATTTACCAGAGCTCTGGGGTCAGCCTTTGTCCACAAGCACCCACCTTCAGCATGAGCTTGCGGGATGCAGAAATTTTGGATTTCTGCAAACAAGACATTTTAATAACTTAGTGGTATATTTCTCATGTTTTAATAATATGCGTAATAAAAATGCCTACCTCTGGTCTGTAGGAATAAAGAGGGCAGAAAATAAAAATAAGACAAAAGTTAGTGTGATGAGTTATTTTCTGTCAAAATGTTGCTTTAATTCAGTTCATGGCAAAACCCTTTATATACATAATGCTCAGTGGAAAGAATAACAAAGACAATCCACTTACGCTTTCTCAGGCATCTTGGCTATTCAGGTCCCCCTGCAAGACAAAAATAAAACCTTTTGGCTTTTGAAGTGGTGGACAGCGGGGACCACTAAGGTCTAATCCGCCAGGGAGTCTCAACTATGCTGTCAATTTTAGCTCCATTATACAGACATCCGGTCTGCCTTACCCACAATGGATATATTGTGATGAGTGACTGTAGAGTAACTTTCCTATAGCCATATCTATAAACTAAAAAATACATTTTTAGTCCCACAGAACCATGAACTTGCACACTGAGGTTCTTTTGTTGCTCAGTCCTGTTAGCTTGAGTCCTCCTTTCACCTTCCAGTGGTGATAACCTAGTCTACCAGAAGGCAAAGTGATGGCAGACAGGCAAAAGCAAACATAGGCCAACCTGGAGCTACAGTCCAGAGATAATGCTCCTCACCATCTCACCCTCCTCACCCCATCACACCCACTCTGGTCCAACTACTGCCCAAGACACAAATAGAGCCACACATCACTTTTTTCTTGGAAATACTCTCGCCGGGTGTAACTTCATATTATCACAGAAGATATGGCATGTATTTTAAAAAAGCAATTTTTTCAAAACATGACCATTTGCATCACATGTGTTTTGTGTGATTTATTATTGCATGTGAATATTCAGTAAAACATTGTTTTAATGAGGCATTGTGGATATGGATATAAACCTACCACTGCTATTATCTATTAACTAACTCCATTCCCTAGTCCCCATGAAAGGAAAGGAGGCATGCAATGTAAAACTTATTTCAAATGCTCTGCACTTTTGGAGGTAATCAGAGGTTCTCACGCAGAAAAAATAATTGGTACCACCCTATAATTATTATACCTAAATTATCCTGCACATGATTTAATTGATATAATATAATAAAATATAATAAAACAAGTAGAAACAGACCGATATGTTGGTTGGCCGATATGTTGAGTTGATATTTGGACTTTTTAGCGGATCATTTAAATCTTTTGTTTTGGATGATCTGCTGGCTAAAAAATACATACAAAGCTTTATTTTAACACTTTTAATATGAAGAGATAGCTGCACAAAATACGACTACACAACTCTCTTGTAGCTTTATGGTAAAATAAAGAAAGGCTCTGGGTGAGTTTGTAGGCCACTTAAATTACATAATTTGAGGAAAATAATGAAGATCAGCCTCAGTTGCTCTGGATTCTAATTAAACAATCGATAATGACATCAGCCATGAAAATCCCATATTGGTCGATCTCTAAAAAATAGTTTCTTACAAGAATGATTCAGGCTTAGTAAGTAATTACTTAAAGGGTTAGGACATTTGAGTAGAAACTAAGTGTGAATCACGATTAAAAACTGTTAAACTAACTGGTCATTAGGAATTAAGTCTTTATTTATTCTATTAGACTATTAAAAGTGTAGTTATTGTAAAGTTGTACTGAAGAGTTAGAGTGACCACTTAAGATCTCTCGTCACATATACTCAATCTTAAATTGTATTCAAGCTATTGTACATACTGTTTTAACTTCTCAAGTGTGAATGGTGGCAGAGCTTACCGTAGAGTGGATGCCTTGGATGCTGACAAGCCATACAATGATGTTGAGAAGAACACAGTGGAATATTTATCCCTGCTCCCTTTGTCCCTCCTCTCTATCACAAGGAGACCTAAATAGAAACACACACAGATAGGGAACCCAGTGGCACTCTCAATTTTCTGTTTGTTGATAATGTACTGCTGAACATGTCACATCAGGTTCAGGGATTTTCACATAGACTAAAATTCATAAGACAGTCTTTTTAACATAATTTTACAAGCCTATTCTTACATATGTATTCATTCTAGTTCACTCTAACAGCTATGAATAGATAAAACTGTCAAAGTCATCACTGCCATTGTTGTTGATGTTTTTGTTTGTTTTAATTGCTCATAGAAAAGTTGTAGATGTGCCTGGACTCCCTTGAGACAACAGGGCCCCTTGTGCTGATTAGGATAATAGCTACAGACAATGTTAAGCCATGGTTTTAAAGCAGGAATGTAGTTTCCAGTATACATTCAGCTAAAGCTCTCTAACTAAACATAGACAAATTGCAGCAACATATGATGCTGCCAGTCTCCAATTTATACTCCCAGACAACAGTGTAAGTCCTTTTAAGTCACATGTTTTTTAATCTTCTATTACAATTAAATTGGTCAATAATAAGATTGATTTTTTTACAGTAATGTTGCAGCTATAATTGTTCAGTTGGTAGCACATTATTTTATCTCACTTTCAATCGTGTTAAGTGTATATTACATTGATATTGGAGTACATAGTAATACAACATATTTTAGTGTTGTGGTTGTGTCATAGTTTTTTGGAACAGGGCCTAAGCTAGAGCTGAGTCAGTGTCTTAAGTCCCCTAGGCTGATTTGATTTATGACGCTGTTAACTGCAGTGTTGGCCCGTGGCAGCTGATTATAATTCCACTGTATACGGCATGTGGGATTAACTGCAAGTGTGGTTCAGGCCAGACTGTCTCCAGGAAGATGTGGCATATATAGACATATGAACTACAGCTTGGTCAAAAAAGAACAATACTCTTTTTCATATATTAATCAATCAAAATGTTTGATTCAGATATTGTTTTATTCTCATTAAAGCACATAG